ACATTTTTTGAGGGAACTATAATGAGATGAACATGATTCTTGCCGACTCGGTCTAAGACAGTTAGAAAGACCACACCCGCACAGGTTCACTGGATGGGGTCGAGCGCTTGGTGACATTCTTTGTTTGTAGTAGTCTTGTAAGACTTGGTAGGGGTCTTTTTTGTGAGTGAGGCTGCTTGGGAAGCTCAGCTTCTGGAAAAAGCCAAAGGCGCTGTAGACAGCAGACAGACGATGAGTTGTTTGCTTCTACCCTTAGGGATGGTCCCCAACCTAGCGATGCTGCCATAAAGAAACAACACCGCTCTTTCTTCCCGCTACTAGGGGCTCCTGGCCTTACTACTAGTAACAAGAAGCTATTAGGAGCAAGTGCATCGCTTCTAGTAACAAGTGCCTTACTAGTAGTAACAAGAAGCTACTAGGGGCTGGCCTTACTACTAAGCATCGTTTCCGGCCGCTGGACCGTGTTGACCGTTACACATGCTTCGTTCGCATAACTTCACCCTCATAAGCTACTGCGATGGTCACAATCTAGCCGCGCCCGGCTAGGAGCAAGGACGCTACTAGGAGCAAAGGGCATCGCTACTAGGAGAAAGGACGCTACTAGTAACAAGTGCCACGCTAGTAGTAACAGGTGCCTTACTAGTAGTAACAAGAAGCTACTAGGGGCTCCTTTATAGGGCGCCCTTTAGAAGGGCCGGGTCGCGGTCACATCCATGGCCCGCAGCCTGGGTGGTGTCTCGGTGTCTCAGTCACTGCAATTTCTGTCTTCTTTGGTGATTTTGTCATCTTTTGTATGTAAAAATTCATTGTTATCACGTGTATATTAAAACATATTTGTTCCTTTCATTGTTTGTCCGAATCGACCAATTTGCGCACACATATGAAAAAAAGGATCATACACACCTCTCCTTGGCGCGATTTTTTGTTGTGCTGTATGCACCTGTTCTTCAGACGTATACACCATGCGCAAACACTTGAGCAATTGAATATACAATTCGGCCACCGGCGAACATTCCTCAAGTGCTTTGTGGTCTATGGAACATACATTGATACATTCAGAATGGATATTTGTTTGTTTGTGTGGTTTAGACTGTTGGAGGTCACTTCTTCTGTTTTAAAGATTTGTCCTCGATATTCCATATGTGAAAGAACAACGCAACGAACAACGCATGCAGAACATGCGCCAGACCTTGGTGGATGCATTGTTTTTGGGGTTGTCAGCTGGGCTAAGTAGAGATGCCCTTACTTTCCTTTGCGCCCCTCTTTCTTTATTCACTTGAAATTTGACATATGGGGGTGGTGAGGTTTCTGCCGTCCAGCCTGTGATCGTGGAAGAGGTGCAAGTCAGTTGTCAAGCGGTGAAAGATGGACACAGTTTTGGTTGGGGAAAATGAGTTACATACGCATTTTTTTGTTCACATGAGGTGCTAGATTGACACAGCATCAAATTGTCAGGAGTTTGATGCACATAAGCATGCTCAGTCGAGAATTCAACTGGGCAGGTCACCCATGTGGAACTGAGCAGGGGCACCCAGCTTGGAAAGGTTGACGCTGATGCAAGGCAACACAAGAGACAGGAGTCTGTTGCCGATTACGAGATGGCCAGAGTTTCTCTTAGGGTTGTTTTTGGGGAGACCAGCCCAAAAAATTGAAACAAGTACAAACGGGTCGGTCTATGGGAAGGAAGGCAATTCACTGAACATGTTGTAGGCCATAAGGACAGGTTTAGTGTTCAAATCCAGTTGCTGTTCAAAAATTGAGGACAGCATCAATATTGCTGTTGCAGAACAGCAAGTAACAGTGTTGCCAAGTCAAGGTACTCTCCAGATATTCATTGTGGATCACTCACAACAATATCTGCATGATGAGAATGACGGAAGAATCCATCAGCTACTAGGAACAAGTGCATCGCTTCTAGTAACAAGTGCCTTACTAGTAGTAACAACAAGCTATTAGAAACAAGAAGCTATTAGAATCTGTAGAATCTGATTTGCAGTTTGTCGATGCACCGGGAACTCGTTTCGAATCGAATCCCTTTCAAAGACAATTGAAAGATCGAACCAAATGAATAGTGCATGAGTCCTAAGTCTAGTAGCGAGTGGGGGCCTACTTAGTAAGCTACTTAGCTAGCCCTTAATCAAGTAAGAGCGGACCCCCCAAATGAAGTTCTCTGGCATGCAAAGCCTTTCAAAGCGAGTTGAGCATGAAGCAGGGCAGTTGAGCCAAGGCAACCAATTTCTATGAGTCTGGTGACAGCGGTTGTTGGGCTGCTACTAGGAACAAAGGGCATCGCTACTAGGAGCAAGAAGCTACAAGGGGCTCCTGGCCTTACTAATAGTATCAAGAAGCTACTAGGAACAGGCGTATCACCGACTCCTCGTCAGAAGCGAAGTACGGTAACGATGGCGTTCCTTGCTCAGCAAAGCTTTGTAGGGACTAGTAGCTGTCCATTCCTTTTTCTTTTGTTTACATTCTTTCCGTCTCTTCGTCTTTCTTTAGACCTCAAGACTTTCTTTTCTTTGTGATTCTTCCTTGCTCACCTGGGGACCAGTGTTCTTCTTTCGAAAGCAGTGTCAATTCAGGTATCGTTTTCCCGAAGTCCCATCGAGCGTCGAGCCTCCCTTCCGACCATGAATACATCGCTCCTTTTTGAGGACCGCTGTCTGTTCAGGAGACCATCCGGGAAGAGGCTCAACTAGTACGTTGCGCAGGTTTGCGTTCTCACGGTAGGGTGTCAGGGACCTGTTAGGAGTCCTTCTCAGTTCAAAGAACTAAACTTGATCGCTACTAGCATGGAGGCCATCGCTAGTAGGTTGGAGCGTAGAAGTGCAACGAGGAACGAAGGGAGCGCTCAGACCGCGAAATCTGTGGAAATCGATGTACGGTGGGCAGCCCTGGGCAGGGGAAGTTCAGTGAGCTCCACTGCCCACAAAATGAAGGCCAGGCTTCTCGCGAGCTTGAGACACTTGCTTCGCTCTGACTCGCAGCAAACAGCACCCGAAGAGTGTTTGTTGATGTTTTTGACCTTTGTACTTCCTTCGTATTGTATTTTTTTTTGTAGACCTCTATTTTTTCTCGTTGTATTCTTCGTTGCGTCATAGGTTTCAAAACGTTCTGACGGCGTTGCTTTGTTCTGAAAAGTGTGTCAAACAACGCGAAAATGTTGGGAGGTATTTTTCTTAGTAGCTAGAAGCTACTAGGTTGGAGGCCATCACTACTAGCTAGAAGCTACTGCTCTGCATCTGAGAACATCTCTATCTTCGTGTCACCTTGCAGGTGCCACGGCTGGGGTTCCATCCGAACCATCGACGTCTTCCAGGAGAAGATGAAAAATACTAGGAGCAAGGACGCTACTAGGGGCTCCTGGCATCGCTACTAGTAGCATTCTTACTACTAGTTGCGAGTTTTCCATGTCTCATGCATCATACTGATGCCACCTCACTGCGGCCATAGGGCCCTTCTTGAGCATAAGGTGAAAAGGGTGCGAACCCCATGTGCCGTGCATGTCGCACTAATCGAGAAGTGTACCAGGTTAGCCTTCGGGAACCAGGCTCCACATACCTTCGGTTTGAAGCGTCAAAAACGCATTGATAGCGTGGCAACAGCGATCCTTCGTGCTCGCTCTACTCCATGGAGGAGGATGACGATTCTGGTGAGAACCTCAGCGATCAAGAAGAGCTCCTGGAGGAGCCAGAAGATGAAAAAGGAGATTCTGAAGCTCCTGACCCTGACCTCGACGAGGAGGAGATCCTAGACCTTGGCTCGCCCGCTGATCGCGCAGACCGACGAGACCAAGATGGCGATGGTGTGACCCGACCTACAAGGCAATGGAGAGGAGGACGCAATGGGCCTCGCTCGGCATCTTCTGCCGATGACGCAGGCAATGTCACACCTTCACCGACTCCACCCTTGAAGTCGCCTACACGGTCAAGAAGGGTGAGGACACTACATCATCGGCTTCCGCTTCGGCATCCCACAAGGGGCAATCTGCCCAATGCACTGCCATTTGATGGCGACAGACGGAAGGACCCGAAACGCTTCCGTCAATGGTTGGCCAAGGTGGATTCCTACATCGCCATTGCGGAGAAGATCATTGGCCAAGATGAGTTTGGCTAGAGGCTTCATGCAGCTTTGACGGGTGATGCTGCTGACTACCTCGAGGACATTCCGGCCAAGGTCTTTGGCGAGGTCCGTGGATGGAGAGTCTTGGTGAGGATCCTCCGCGACAAGTTCGAGGAAACCAAATTAAGGTCGGCAACGCGATGCAGGACTTCTTTCAGCTTCGCGAGGCCATAGACAAGGAGAATCGCGCCCTCACCATGCGCGATGTGATGGAGATGATGGACAGGGCAGCTCGACGATGCCGTGACAAGGAGTCCAACGACTCGAACCTTGTCCCCGAGTGTCTAGCGTCAACTTCATTTGACCTCATGCTTCACCACCCACCGTGAGAATCGCCAACGGCTCGCTCGTGGAGTGCAGTCTGGTGGCTACTGGGTGAAGGGTGGCAAGGGCAAGGGCAAGTCGAAGTTTGGCAAAGGATCCGGCAAAGGATTCAAAGGTGGAAAGGCCTCAAAAGGCCGCAGCCGTGGAATGTCGCTGGATGAGCTGAAGGTGCAGACAGCTTGGGCCGAGTGTGGAGTGATGGGACACTGGAAGGATGAGTGCCCAATCACAAGTCGAATGTCACCCGCACCGTGGATGATGAGCACTACGGCGACCAGGACTATGACGATGAGGAGAACTGGGACTATGGCCCCGGCTACTACGATGCAGGCGAAGGCCAAGAGTCAGGCCATCGGTCCACGCGCACCACTGTGCGGGATCCGTCTGTGACCAAGGCTGATTTGGAGGCCATCATTGCCAACTTGAAGAAGAAGACAGCAGCCGCAACCACGCCATGGAGGACATCCTGGCCAAGCTCAAGCGCCAAGGGCTGATTGTTGCCTTTGCAGGAGCCAGAGTGAGAACAGTATTGCTTTGGACCGGGACCTCCAAAGGTCTCCACAGTGAGGCTTTCAGTGCCTATTGGCATCGGTGGGACACCGCTGATCATCCGCACCAGCTTGATCAAGGAGGAAGACGGTGCGCCCAACATGCAGGCGATCATTGACTTGGGTTGCAATGTCCTGCACCTGCCGACCATCCAGCAAGATGTTCCATTGCGTGTAGATGTCACTGGCCAATTGGTCATTGCAGTGGACGAGTACCCAGCCACAGGCTGGCCACCTGGTCTCATGACCCGCGTCGACCTGTATCCTGGTGCCATTTTCACCAACCGTGTACAAAGGCACCAACACCGAGATGCCAAAAGCTTCGCAGCAAGAGCAGCCAAAAGTTGCAGCTGGCCGCAACTCCAAAGTGGAGCCCCTTGTTCTTGTCCAAAGCCCCAACATTGTGTATGAGCCCAATGACGATGGCACGAACGACAAGTTGCCCAAGGGACCCTGCTTTGTGCGTGCGCATTTTTGGGAGTACACCCATGATGGCTTTTGAGTTTCCTTCGAGCTGGCGACATGTAGACATGTTTCTTTTTGGACACCAACCCCTACAAGGTCAAGATCAAGCCCCTCTCACATGTCGGTGTGCCAGTTCTTTTTGAAGGTCGACCACATTCAGTTGAAGTGTCGCCCGCAGCCTGAGCCCACTCGGACCCAAGAAGATCCAGCAGTTCGATTTCAGCTCGACCCCTCCTTTGTTTGACCGCGTGGACACCAAGAAGAAGGTGAGCTTTGTTGTGTGCCCCAGTTAACTTGGTTCAAACCTCAGCCGCATGTCTGTCGAGCAGGGCTCCGGACTTCAAGGTCAACATCGTCTACGAGATGAACGTGAGAAGCGTAGGCGACATCTGCGAGGAGGACTTGGAGGCGCAGCCGGAAAGCTTCGCGATGCACTGCAACCCCATGGCCGCTCCGAAGAGAACGCCTGCGGCGCGATGGCAGCATCTGGTCCTCCGCCTCAGACGTGGCAGGCCATGGTCCGTTGGCAGGCTTGCAACCAGCGCAGGCCTCCGCTACATGGACCGATGATCACAGCGGACAACCAGTACACGCTGTCCTCCAGCGACGACCAACCCTGCAAGCCCGACCAGGAAGGCCATGATGATTCCATGCCCTTTCAAAGTGGAGCACTGCCCGCGCGACGCAGAAGCAGCAATGGAGTGCGCTCAGTGCGGGGATGTGAGGAAGGCCTTCACTGAGGACTACATGAACCCCATCGCCGGCGAGATGGTCGTGGTCTATGGCGTCCACCACGGCAGGAAGAAGCAGCCCGGCCACAAGAACGGGACGCCCCAAATCAATCCGCAATCCTGGCAAGCTCGCTTTCTTCTTTGCCAACCTCTGCATGCTCCTTCGGCCTCGGAACCGCCTTCGAAGAAGTCACAAGCTCCCCTTCCTTTAGGTCCTTTTGGGCAAGAGTTCCAAGACACCAGTCTCGAGCCCGGATTGGGAGCATGTTGGGATGGAGGACTGAATCCCAAGCCTTTGAAGCAGGGCGAAAGCTCCTCCAGCCTGGCTGGTATACAGAGGTGCGGTGATTGGACCACACAAGGGCGATGGTTCGCCCCAGCAGTCGAACTACTGGGTGACTTCCGGTAGCAAGCTGATTTTGGCTAGTCGTGAACAGATGAGGCCAACTTATGGCACAGTGCGCTGGCCGATACAGGACAGCGGCCTTCGGTCATCATGGATGATTGGCGGAGGAGCAATTTGATGAGACTGGTGAACCACCTCCAAAGGATGAGATTCCAGTCCACGAGGAGATGATCATCCACGTCTTCGGACAAGATGGCCACGACGGCGCCAGCTACGAGCCAACAGAGGCCGACATGGAGGAGAAGCCGCCTGACCGAATGAACCGCAGCGCAGCTCCTTCGATTGGGACGGACGCCGCGCAACCACATCAGTCCGTCAGGATCGAGACAGGAACTCCGATACATCAGCTTCTTCGTCCACCTCCTCACCTACTCCCACCAGTTCCCGACAGACCTGGCGATGATGCACCGTTCCCTACACACGCTGGACCTGACAAGAGGCTCAGGCTCGACAGTGAGGATGATGGAGCGCATCACTCCTACCCGGAACATGAGGAGATCCCTGTCTACTCACGTGCCTCGTCCGCAAGGAGAAGAAGGCCTTAGAGAAAGAATTCCCTTGGCAGTTGATCCCTGAAGATCAGCGACCTGGCTATGTCGAGGCGCTTCGCAAAGTGTGGGACACTTGGAAGAAACGACGCCTCGACAAGATCGGCTCAAATAATGTGGAGGACAACGTTCCAAAAGGTCGCGTCCTCGACGCTCGAGTGTGCTAATGCAACATGGCTTCCTGTGAAGCACAAGGCCAGCTGATTGGTCTGGCGTGGAGATCGAGATCCTGACCTTCTTCAACTCCGTCGTGACGCCCCGACGATGACAAGGTTGGCGTTGACGGTCATCCTGCAAGTGGCGTCTTCTACGCCCGGATGAATTCCTCTTCGACTCCGACATTGTCTTTTTTGGGCTGCGACAGACAACCAATGGGTTGACCACCTCACCAAGGTCAAGCCGAGCTGGATCCTGCGGCAGCTGCGTAGCATGGGTCGTTTTGCACTCCGGGCCATCGGATTGGAAGCGGATCCGGTCCTCACATTGAAAGGGAATGGGGAGCGCGCGTATTCCATGTCTCATGCATCATACTGATGCCACCTCCCCGCAACCATAGGGCCCTTGAGCATTAGGTGAAAAGGGTGCGAACCGCCATGTGCCGTGCATGTCGCACTAATCGAGAAGTGTACCAAGTTCGGGTACCAGGCACCACATACCTTCAGTTTCAAGCATCAAACACGCACTAGTAACAAGAAGCTACTAGGAGCAAATGGCACTGCTACTAGGAGCAAGGACGCTGGCCCTACTACTAGGAACAAGAAGCTACTAGGAGCAAAGTGCGCAGGCTCACTTGTGGTCACTTGTGGTGCTGTGTGAGCAGTTCCAGGCATGCAGCAAGAGGTGGAAACTGACTGTTTCTTCAGCTTCTCTCTCACTTCCTTCTCTCCCTTAGTGGCAATGGCCTCCAACCTAGTGGCAGTGGCCTCAAACCCAGTGGCGATGGCCTCCAACCTTGTAGCGACGGCATCCAACCAAATAGCGATGGCCTGGAAAGTGGCGATGGTCTCCAACCTAGTAGCGATGGCCTCCAACCCAGCTGCGGTGGCCTTCAACCTACTAGTGATGGTCTCCAAACCAATAGCGATGGCCTCCAAAGTAACGACAGCCTCCAACCTAGTAGCAATGGCCTCCAAGCTACTAGTGATGCCCCCCAAATAATGTACAAAAGACTGATTGAAAGCAGTTTTCTAAACTAATATCATAGCAGTATAACAACTCAAAAAGTATTCACAAAAAAGCATAACAGTCTGAAAAATAATTTTAAATATTGTTGATTGCTTCATTTTCTCTCAACAATATCAAAGCTTAATTACCTCATTCTTTTTTCAAAATCATCACCACTAACCATAAATTACCTCTTTCATTTTCCTAAATCATCACAGTCAAAACATAATTACTTCATTCATTTCTATAAAAACCTAACTACTGCCTTTTCCAAATTTCTTTGATGCTTATCGGTTTTCTTATGCTTATAGTAATTTGCTTGGGCCATTGAACAATTACAAACAAAACAACTAACAATTTTAGATTGAAATGATTTATTGTAGTCCTGCTTCGTTTTTCTATATTCCTTATCTTCCTCGTATCTTCTTCTTTGAACCTCATTTCGGTTATCTTTCTGTTTGTTATAACTGGTTCTTTTATCTGATAAGCACATTTTACAAGTTTTCAACCCTTCATCAAAATTATCAGTGTCCATAGTTCTTTCACAAGTTTTACATGTTTCATCACCCTTATATGTCAAAACAATCATTTTGTTAAATATGTATTCAGATTTATCATTTTATTCATAGAAAATCTCACCCAAAACAAAACAACCCCCACTAAGTAAAAGAAAGTATAAGAAACAAAACAAAGAACAACATAAAGATCGGATGTAGCACCAGTTACATGTACTTGCCATAACTTGTATAGATGTATGTTTCACTGCAGCCGTTTTGTGTTCATTTCGCTACCAGAGCTCAGTCAAGCGTGAGCTAAAAGTGGGCCTAAGCTTCAACTACAACCTTTGGGACAGTGGCTTGGGGTCACAGAGTTTAAGAGCCCAAATTCTCCGTTCATGGTAGCGGAGCCGCGGTTCTAAGACCCGGCTACCGTCTGCGAATCGAAGGTTGCCGAGCCGCATCGGCTCTGGCACCGGAGATCCACAAACAAGCATCACTTGCAGGAAAGCCGGATTGCTTCAATCCCTGGCTAGCAAGTCAGCATGGCGCAACAGCCAGGAGCACAGGCACCACAAGCCACAGACATGGCGCAACAATTTGCGCAGATGATGCAAGCCCTAGCACAGGGGCAGAACCAATTGCAGCGAGCAATGGCAGAAGCATACACACAACAAACGGCGATCACAAGGAACATAGCCACCAGCGTAGAAGTAAGAGACAGGTCAGAGTTGAAAGGCGCTCCAAAGCCTGACAAGTTCAGTGGACACACAGGTACCTGGGATTCATGGTACTTCAAGTTCAAGACTTGGATTGAGACAAGTCACAAGAATGCAGGAAAGTGCATTCAACTCCTCGAAGAGCATCAAAACACAGAGATCAATGAGACATCTCTGGAAGACGATTATCCTGAGGGAGCCGAGCTTGTTTCAGCTCAGGCCCGACAGGCTTTGATCTCGCGGTACGAGGGAGAAGCGCTCGAGATTATCAAGAATACCTCCAGAGGTCAGCACTTTGGCCTAGAGGCATTGAGACGATTGATCACCAAGTATGATCCACAGAACCCACAAGCAAACTCAGCTTTGCTGAAGAAGGTCCTGCACCCACAACAGTGTGCATTGGACAAGCTCAGAGAGAGCATAGAAGCCTGGGAGAACATCAGGCGAAAGTATGAAGAGCGAAAGAAGAAAGCTCATCGCAAGAAGTTGTCTTCAGCAGATGTGTCCATCGAAACTTCAAGATCACCTTGACCTCCAGAGTTCAAGACTCACTGACTATGCCATCATGAAGTCAGAGATTTTGGCTTACCTCGAGAACATCGAGAGCCGAAGAGAAGCAAAGACTGGATCAGCACCAATGGATGTTGATGCATTAGCCGCAGCGGCCAGCCAGATGCAATCTTCACTTGCAAGTCTAGCCAAAGCCAAAGGAAAGGGCAAAGGTGGCTCAAAAGGCGGCAAAGGAAAAGGAAAGAGTCAAGATGGAGGCAAGGGAAACGACAAAGGTAAACAGAAGGGAAAAGGTTCTTCATGGTCCAACTTCCCATCCTGGAACCCCTCAT